AAATATACTTGAAAAACACCTTATTGGTATTTTCTGGGTATATTTTGGCATCCAAAACGTATCTGCGATTTTTCAGGAAAACTGGAAAAAAACTCTAGAAATATCCCAGACATATTCGGGAATTACCAGCAAACCTGAACAAAAGCTGAGGGGCAGGAGCAAGGGTGTTTAAAGGGTCTGCAGAAGAAATTCCACAACACAGCTGAGGGGGCCCTCTCCCTTCCGGCTCAGCTGGGGCTCTTGGGCTGTTCAACTGAACTGTCGAAGAGAGCTCCAGTGGAGCCCATGGGGAGAACTCTCCCTACAAGATCAGCTGTTTGGTGGGCTCTGTTGGGCAGTCTGGTTTAAACTGGGCTGCCCAGCAGAGCCCTAGCCCAACCTGTGGGAAGAACTCTCCCTGTGGGATTGGCTGCTTGGCCAGCTCTGTTTGGCTGTCTGTTTTAAACTGGGCTGCACAGCAGAGCCACAGCTGTGCCTGTGTCGAGAGTTCTTCCTGCAGGATCAGCTTCTTTGTGAGCTCTTTTGGATAGTCCGGTTTAAAGGAACTGGCCAAGAGCCTGAGCTGAGCCGCCTCTCGAAGGTTTTTTGGTTGCTTTGCTGCTGCCTTCTTTTCTTGGCATATTTCATTTCAAAATTGGGATCTCCGAAAAATCCTGGATCCTAATACTTTATTGGGATCCAAGTTTTTCTGGGAATCCAAATTGTTCTTGAGTCCAATAGACCCAACCCGAAAATACAGAGAGAAAAAACTGCACACCCCTAGTCACCTCCCTTATTTCCTTCTGCATCTGAAAATCAGCCTCAAGGGTTTGATCAGGTGGGTGACAGTACACCCCCACTTTTAAGTAACACTTAGGGCCCAGTATTTCCACCCATATTGCTTCTGTTGGAGAGTTAATTCCCCAATGATTTCTAACTTATTTGATTCTAAGCTCTCTTCGATGTACAACGCAACACCACCACCAACCTGTCCTGTGTACAGAGCTTATACCAAGGAATGCCTGTATCCTATAGATTTTCCCCATTCCACCATGTGTTTGAGATATGTACTATATCTAAACTGTTGTTGAATACCAAGCACCCCATTTCAGCTCAGAGACTTCTAGCATTGACATACAGACAACTATAATGTGTTTCCCTCTCCAGTAACCCTTGCCTCCCTTGGGACCTCAGTTGCCATGCATGGCCCTCAGTCACCATCACGCCCTCACTCCCAAGTTCTACTACACTCCTATCAATCTTGAGATACCCCTAGGAGCCTGCTTTGGTGGGGAGGGCAGGGTATAAATCAAATAAATAAATAAGTTATGGGGGGAGGTGATAATCAGGAAGATCATATGAAGGTTCAATCTACTACCTATGCATGTCTTCACAAGAATGGAAATGAGAATGCATGTGAGCACAGCTCATCCTGCAGGCAAAAGATCATACTTATTTCCATTTACAGGTACATCTTTCTATACTAAAATTAACTTGGCAATGCAATACATGAGAATGACTTCGATTTGGGTTAAAAGACATACAAAATTAATGAAGAATCACAACTTTATTTTCTACCCAGCAAGTAAAATGAAGCAATAGACAATGCAAAATCTTAAAACATTTGAACAGCACAAAAAGACTAATGCTAGGTACTAAATACAAAATATTTTAGAGATGTAAGGATACAAGACACTTCTAACTATTGTTTACTGTTTTCAGTTGCTAAATGTCTTAGCAGTATTAGGCCCAGTCAAACTGAGGAAATGACAGTGTCCACCTATTGCTGCAATGTAACTCATGACCAACTGACAGCTCAAGTCTAAAAAACTTCTAATTCAAAGATTCTAAGGGTGGCACTCCACCTATGTATCAAAACTGCATGAAATTACGTGTGTCCCCAGATGTCATGCCAGACGAAACACTTAAAGACATAAGTATTTACATCAAATCGCAAAACTCAACATCTCTACAGTAAGAATGCAGCATTTTTAAAAAGTGTATTCCTTTTAAAAAGTGAAAAAGCTTGAAATGCTGTTACACTAAGCTTTCTTACTTAAAAGTTATAAACTCCTCAGCCCGATTTTGACAGACATTACATTAATACAGAATTATGAATATGGTTAGACTTTGTGCATTGGCTGGGTAAAAAAGTCAAAACATGAAGTACACATTTGCATTATTTTCCTCTCAAGGTTAGCGCTTGCAGTTGAAGACTCCCTACACACGTATTTGCGAGATCTTTTGATTCTACTTAAAAAGCAAAGAACTGGAGGTATTCTTCGCCACCTTGAGATGTTCCACACGACTCTTCCAAAAAGAAAGGTAAATCACGTTCGAATACAGCCCTAGAAAAAGACACTTGTCATCGACTCTCAGTGGGTCAGCAGACGCCAGGTCAGCCATTTCACTTCAAATAAACTGGTTGTGTTTTTTTTTTGGGGGGGGAACACACGAATGGAGAACTACTCCATTTTCTCATAGCTGTTGTGGAAGGGGGAAGAAAGTCTTATGCAAGCGCTGGCCGCTCCCTAGACCCACTTGGTAAAGGAAACGCTTCTGCTGGTCGGGAGTGCGGGTGAAGGAAGTTTCTTTTTGGCTTCACAAAACCACCACTCTGCGGCGGACAGGGAAGCGCGCCTTGTAGTCGTCGCTGCAAATGCGCCCAGCGAATGGCTGAGCCTACCCAGGGCACCTGCCCCTTCACGAGCCTCCCTTCGAAAGGCGTTCCGGCGGGCTTGGCTCCAAATCCCTAACTCCCGTCCTCCTCACACGCACATAACGCCGCTAGGGAAGCCATTATTATTCGTCGGTGCCAGAACCACGCCCCAGCCCCAAGTGAGGCAGAGGAGGGGGGCACGGGAGCGGCGGCGGCGACGACATAGCCCCCCCCCCCTCTAGATGGGAGAGGAAAACGAGAGAAAGCGACGTACAAATTCTATTCAAGGACCCCTAACTGCACCACCAAGAGGATCGCCTGTCTGATACCCTTCCACGGCCGCCATTTGCGCTCAAACTCCCCGACTCTCTCTCCAGTCAGCAGCTCCTCCCCGCTCCTGCTGGTAACTTAAAGGGTGCATACGAACTTGCTCTCTGAGGCTAACGGACAAAGCCGTTTGATTGACTAACCAACAGTTCAATAGCAACCCGTAGCGAATTGCCACCCCTCCTTCCCGGCCAATGGTGTGAGGCCAGTGTTGAGGGTGGAAAACAAAGAGTTGTACATATATAAAAGAATATTACGGAGTTTTTACCATGGGCTTCCTACTACAATACTTACGATCGTCCACCTGGGGGGCGTGAGTGGCTGAGGTGCATAGCACATAGCCATTCATGTGAAAACCATACACAAAACCACCTCAAAATAAAACGGGTAGGGTCGGAGGGTCCACTTCGCGGAAATATTTGGCATAAACCAAATCCCAACATTTGTTTTGCTCACTGGTTAATAGGATACAGCTGGGCGGGGAAGGAGGTTATAAGGAAAGAAGGGCCATCGTTTCCAAAGCCACGTCTCTTTTCTTGAAACAATGCCAATACACCTAACTGAATCTGAAACATCTATTTAGTTAGGCTTGATTATCTTGTAACTCGGGCGATTAGAAGAGGCAGTAAGAAGACAAGTCTTTCTTTGCCCAGATAAGGAAAAGGGGATTGATGGGATGGTCCAAGAGACCTCCAGAGCCAATTTAGGGAAAGCCACATTGAAGTCAACGGGTTTAGAAGGGTGTGACCGGGTTTAGGATACCACTGAGAGACAGCGCGGGGACGTGGTTAGAGTGTGGGTCTGGGCTCTGGGACACCCAGGTTTGAATCCCCACTCTGCCATGGAAGTTTGCTGGCTGCATCAGGGGTCAGTCACTCTCTAGGTGTAATCTACTTTAGAGTATGGCTATGAGGATAAAATAAAAGAGACGGGAATGATGTAAACCGCTTTGGGTTCCCATTGGGATAAAGGCAGTAAACAAAGTGTAGTAAATAAAAAGTATGCCTTGGCATTACATAGATAGTTTTGTGCTTTGACTGGGGAAACATTGTGAAAACGAAGTTTCATGCCAGACAGACATCCAGCAGGTCTAACCTTTCACATCATTAGATCTGTGCGACAAGACTTTGTCTATTTTGCTGCTTTTAAAGGCATCAGAGCCCTACTCCCTTGTACTGTATGACTTATTTGTTGCGTGTCAGGAGGCAATTAAAAACAGGATAAAAATCCAGGACATGTGGCAATGCAACAAGTGAAACCCCTTCCCATCAAGATGGGTAGCATGTTAGTCTGTACCTAGCAGCAGAAAAGAGCAAGAGTTTAGTAGCGCCATAAAGACTACAAATTTTGTGACAGTTTATGAGCTTTCGTGAGTCACTGCTCACTTCTTCAGCCTGATCTGAAGAAGTGAGCAGTTATTCACGAACGCCCATCCCCTGCCACAAAATTTGTTAGTCTTTAAGGTGCTACTGGACTTTTGCTCTTTTCTACCCTCCCTGTCATTTGAATTTCATGGAGGGGGAGCGGTAACAAGCTCTTTCTTCTATAATAAAAAGATCTGGCTCCTGTCAGAAAGATTATTTTTTCTCTCTAGTATCTTTAAAAAAACAAACAAAAAAAACTTCTTGGGGTGTAGAAGCAACGCCCAATCTCCCCGCTGATCTACTGCTCCCACTCTAGCCTCACCCATGGAGGATTCTACTCACTACCATTAGAAACCTGAAGTATATTATCAAGCTCTACGAGACCACTTTCCCTTGGCAAAAGCAGCGCGGCTACCAAGCTCGAGCGTAGCCCTAGAAGAGCGCTATGACTGACGTAAGTCAACAAAGGTCACGTGGGCAGGCCTGGGCGCGGCGATTGGCTGCGTGGGCACAGGCAAACGGGGTGGGGAGGGGGGGTCACGGTGGCGGCGTGGGGTTCGCTGTGTGACACAATTACAACAACTTTGTGCAGCTGCTGGGGAAGTTTGTACAGGCAACAAATACGCCCCACGCGGGTGCGCGCGGGCCCCTGTCACCCCGACTCCACTCACCTCTCGCCGCCGGGGCTGGCGGCTCAGCAGCGATGTAAACATTCTGCTCCGCCGCCGTCACCGCCAGCAGCAGCAGCAGCAGCAGCAGCCGCCTCCTCCTCCTCTTTCTCCTCCTCCTCTGTTGTTGTTGTAATAAAAGTTGTGGTGGTGGTGTGTGTGTGTCGGGCACCCCGCCCCGCCCGGCACTGGGGGGGGTGTTGGGGGCGCGCGGGGAGGGGGGGGCCTTGCGATCGTGAGTTAATTACGTTGCGTTTCCATGAAATCGTGTGGAGTGTCGCTCGCCGCCGCTGCCGCCGCCTCTACTGCTTCTTTCGGTGATGAGGAAAAGAAAATGGCGGCGGGGAAAGCGAGCGGCCAGAGCGAGGAGGACTTCGCCAGCCTGACAGCGGAGGAAAGAGAAGTCCTCTCCGGCCTCGACAGGTATCCGAACGGCAGCCTCCGGGTTCCGGCTCGTCCGGGGTTCCCTCTCGCCTGCCCGCCCGCCGCTCGGGGTGTGTGAGGGAAGAGTGAGTGTGTGCGGGAGAGAAAGCGAGCGCGAGTGAGGGAGCCAGCCAGCCAGCCAGCCAACGGGTCGTGGCGGTGCTCCTGGGCCGGAGAGCGGGCGGTGTGTACCCCTGGCCGGCCAGCCGGCGAGAGAGAGCGGGGGAGGGAGCGCGCGAAGGAAGCGGTTTATTTCGGGCGGGGGTTACTCGGCTAACGTGGCTGTTTCCCCTCAATCCCTCTCTCTCTCTCTCTCTCTCCGCCTGCCTGCCTGCCTGCAGCCGACTCTTCGGGTTTCTGAGGCTTCATGAAGATGGCGCCAGAACGAAGGCCTTGCTGTTAAAGGTAAGGGGACTGGGGTGGGGGAGGAGGCAACCGACGAGGGAGCCACCCTCACCCCCCCGCGCGCGCCCCCGTCCGCCCGTGTGTGCGTTTATGGAGGGAGAGCGGAGGCATTAGACCCCCCTCGCATCGCCACCGCAAGACTCGCCAGCAGAGTCTCTGGCCCGGCCTGCCTCGACCGCCCTCTTTCTTGGCTTTCGGATGGGAATGGCTTTCCCCAGCTACTCTGGCAGCACGCGCCTCTGGCCAGAGGTGGCTCTTTCTCCTGCCCTCCCACCGCCAGGTGCTCAGGGTGGCGAACGAGGTGCGTGGTGTGGCAACCTCATTTTTGGTCACTTTCTGGGCTTTGTCCCAGGAGTAGGGCGGAGAGAGCCCCTGCGCATCAGGCCTGGATTTCTCCAGCTGGGAACAACCTTTGTGAATAATCGGGAGACTGGGCATTACTTATTTGCTATTTGCCACCTTGGACCTTCGTTTTCTCCGGGTCTTAACCCTTTTCCTCTTTTCCGGGAAGATGGACTTTACTGAACCACTATTCCTGATTCCATTTGAATGGTATGACTCTTGCAGAAATGTGGTCCTTTTCCTTCAATAGTGTTCAGGAGTAGATGGCTAAGTGATTTGTTTACTTTTTTTGTTCTGTGATCCCTCAAACCTGCAAACTTCTTTCAGTGAGTCTCTCTCTCTGCTTTTTTTTTTTGGGGGGGGGGGGGGGCGACGGCCGGCTATTTTTTGCTGTTTCTCTGGAATGTGAAAAAGTTGTTTCCCACCTGAGTAGCTGCAGAAAAATGTTTCTGGAAAAAGTTCTTAGTCCTGTCATTTGCTTAAGTAATGGCTGCTCCAGTCAGCCCAAGATGGCTGGACAGGGTGGAGAAAAAAGCAGGGTGGGAGGAGATAAACAGGGAAATAATTAGGAGCAATACATGTGTACATGAGCTGAACTGTACAGTTTTCATTAGCTAGCTACATAGAGAAATTGTGCTTGTGTCCAAAGATTCCACCCCTTCCCCCTTAATTTGCTAAAGTAGAATTGTATTTGCAGAGCTAGAGGTTAACATCTACCTGTAGCATATTTAGCTCTGTATCTATAAGGCCATAGAGCCTAGACATGACAATTTAATTTTTTGAAAAATTGTTACTTATTACACAGTAGGAAATACATTAGTCTATCTTGTTTTCTCAGAGTATGTTTGGCATATTACTGGGTAGTCTGGGTGTAAGAAACTGTTCTCATATTTTAAAACAGTGTTGTTTTGCATTGGATTTATTCATCTGTTTGGACATACTTTAATGTTTGCCTGTTGGTTTAACTGGCAGAATTGGTATTCTATGAATAGTTACATTATTTTTCAGTTCATGGAAATAATTACTTTTGTTTTAGATAATTTACTTGTTCTATGTTTCTTAGGCTTTACTTGCTGTTTTGAAATAGGCAGCTTTCGAAGGCACTGGATCTCCTATGCACTAGATACTTTAATTTTAATGTACATCCTCTGGCATATTGGTCATTGTTCAAAGTTTCATATATTAATGGATTTGAAATATGAAAATGGTTCAGAAATGAGAGTACAGTAAGATTATGCTATTAAAAATGTTAGAACTCAATCTGGCAGTAGAAACAATAAAAATACTTGTTTGATTGTGATTTGTTTTTTTAAAAGGACTAATGTACCTTTAGCAGACTTTCATGAGCGTCCATGTTTATTACGCATTTCTTTAGCTATACATATATTTAGCCATCTGCTTCTATATGGTGGTAGGCTTGAGATCTTATGACTCTTATGAGATAAAGTTCTGTGGTTGGTATATTTAGTATATGCTGATGTGTTATTTGTAATGTTGAAAGCATTGGAAACTATTGACCTTGGCTTATAGTTTTGTTGAACAGAACTTTAGAAATTATAAAATGTGCTTTAATGCATGTAACATAATATAATGTAATCTTGTTATTGTTTTAATTAACTTGATGGGTATTTTGAATATGTAAAACATGGATAGAATGATAGTTAAATAGGAATGAAAAACGAGGGCAGTTAACTAGGAATGACAGAACAGGGCTGATAAACTTACTACAAATGACTGTTCCATTCCATTGGATGAGTGATGGCCTAGGCCTTAAAGAATTGATTGACATTAGAATGGATTACTAGCAGGCAAAAGTTGTGGTTGAGTTAGTTACAGACTAGTGTGTATCTTAGGCCCTAGACAGGTAAAGATTATGACTCAGGTATCCAGTCACCAGAGCAGCAAAGCTGGTTATAGCAGTCAAAAATAACCAAGAATGCAGCAACAGATTTCTGTCAGATTGGGGATAGAGCTGTAACTGCCCTAAGTGATTGTGAATTGTATGTAATTAAGCAATCCTAAACAAGTTTATTTAGACTATTACTCAAGTCTGTTCAGTTGGGCTTCCTCCCATGAAAATGTTCTTGTACCATTGATCTTCTGGGCCCTCATTATTAGATGATTCTTAGTGTCCTTGGTTTGCAGAAAACTCTGAAATCTTAAATTAAAGGGGGGGTAGCCATAAGAGTGTCTGTAGTTTTAAGAAATGAATACCCTCAGTGTCTGTTTTTACACTGTTCTAGGCTTTGTTTCCGTCATTAAGGGCAGAGGGCAGGGCCCTTTCTGGGACTGTTTTGGCCTTTGACAGAGGACTCACAGAGGGGCCAGGCTTGACAGCACTCACCCAGGCACGGCTGCCTGCTACTGTTCAACAGCAGCAACCCTGGAGTTTCAGACTAGGACCTCAAATCCCCACTCTGCCATGGAACTTCACTGAGTGACCTTGGGCCAGTTACACATTCTCAGCCTAACTTCACAGGCAAGGTGGGATTGGTGTTTAAGAGTACCTCCCAGTGGGCCCTTGCCTTGTGACAGATGGGCTGAGTCTGGCCTGTGTGAAGTGAGGAAGACAGTGCCCAAGGCCCATCCAAGCCCTGTGCAAGGTGGTGTCTGGCTCAACCTGCCTAAGGTGAGGGAGGCAGCCCCCAGCCAGTTGGTTAGGGAGGCTGCAGCTTTTTCTTCTCTCTCACTTCTCCTTCTTTGCGGGGAGTAGGACCAGGGTGGGCTGGAGGAAGGGCCCTTTTCCAGGGTTTTTTATTCCCAGTCTGTCCCTGTTCATAGGGTTGTTGTGAGGATGAAATGGAGGAGGGGAAAATGTTGTAAACTGCTTTAAGTCCAGGCTGTGGAGAAAGGCAGAGTATAAATTAACTAAATAAATAATACATTTAGCTGAAGATGGCAGATAAAATGTTGGTTGATGGGTTGGGAAGAAGGAATCAGAGAAAGGTGAGAGGTATGCGAGTTGCCTGCAGGAAGGAAACCAGAAATAGCGTGTGGAAGAGGCGATGAGGGAAAAGGAGGTGCCCCACACAAGTTCTCATGGGTTCACCACTGTGCAACTGGGCCTGGTCCAACAGCTGGCGCAAGGTAGCTTGGCCAGACTTTTTCCAGAGGGAGGCTACCAGGGGAGGGGAGGAGGGAATGCTGGAAATGGGGTAGATAAAAATAGCTTGGTTGCGGTGTGTGGGTGGGAAGGAGAGAAGGAAG